TAGCGCTAACCATAGTTTGGTTTTTTAATTATTGTGACAAAAAATTATTAAGAAGAGTTGATATGTATAGCAATTATAAAGTTTTTAATAGATATATTATTGTAGTTATAGACTATTTAATTAAATAACTAGAAATATAAACTACTTTTGATATAAAAGCTAAAACTGTTACAAAATTTATATATAAAGATATAATTTGTAATATGACATATCAACAATCTTATTAAATAATCATAAAAAAACTTTATAAGTAAATTAATTCAGGAATTATACAATAATTTTTAAATTAAATATTATAAATCTTCTGCATACAAACCTTAAACAAATAGTATAATCAAAAGATTTAATCAATAATAGATGAAGCAATAGCTAAATTAATAGCTATAATTACAAAGAATAGAACCAAATACTACTATCTGTTCTATTAATCTACAGAACATTAAAGTATAGTATAACAAAGTTTATATCATTCTCTTTAATTTATAAGAGATACTAAACTTCTAATAGAAACTATTATTGAAACTTATTATAATGAGAATATATCTTTTAATAAAGCTTTAATTAAATGAATATTTGAAAAAAAAAAATATAACTTTAAAATAGTAAAAAAACTATTGAAAATATTAAATAAGCATAATGAATACAAAAAAAAGCTTATAACAAGAATATTAAAAACTTTAAATTAAAAATTAGTGGCAAAGTTTTAGTATTTTAATTTTATCTTAAAAATGTATTTTTTGCTAAACTAGAAAAAAAATAAATTAAACTATATATAATTTATGATATTTTATCTCTTGGTACTTATAAACTATGAGCAATAAATAGACAAAAAGTAAAAGATTTTGTATATAGCAATTGTTTAAATTATATTTTGAAAGAGATCTTTCTCAATTATCTATTCTACAAGTTATAATATTGCAAACAAACAATATTTAATAATTAATTTAAAATATTTTTATTATTTATTTATTTATTTATTATATTAATATTAGGATATTAATATTTACAAACTCTTTCTGATGATCTCTTGGTTAACAACAAAAAAATCAAACTACAGTTAAAGTTATAGAAAAGCAACAAAGTAGATATCATGATACTCTTGCTATATACTTACACTACTTGTTGTCAACTAAACATATATGTGAAATATTGAGAAATGGGCGTATAAACAAAAAGTAGGTTTGGTATCGTGGTCAAGCTTCTTTTTTTACAAACTATTGTTGATGAAGTTCTTAAACATGATATACTGAAGTGCGGTCATTGTGGACAGTTTGCATAGAGGTCAAGCCTTTTCTATATATAGTGGACTTCTTTGTATATTCGGTATTCAAACTAGAGAAGTCTCTAGGAATAGCAAGAAAAAAGAAGTAGACTCCCCATACTTTCGATATCCAAACCAAAAGGATATTTTGAAAGCAACGTCCCTGTTGAGTCCTTGTGCAAGAATATCTAGTAGAAACAAAGGAACTGGACTATACTACTATAATTTTTACAAGAAGAACCTCACATACTTTCATTGGCCTACTACTTTTTTTCAAGAAAATTTTTGTAAAAAGTGGGTGTCTTAGCTTACCCCTCTAAAAGATCAATATCACGTACACCAAAACAGTCAGCATTGTTTACTTTCTAAATCAGTACAACAGGACAACAAACACGTTAAAACACATGTCTTGAATAAACAATTTGATTAAGCAATATTCTACGATTTGGATCGAGTACTGACCCTTTATATTTTATGGTCAAAGAAGTATTTTTTACTAGTTTTGAGCTTTTATATACTATTTAGATAAATTTAAAGTAAGGATTATTTTATTTAGTAGTATGTAATTTTATAAGCCATTTACAAGCTTATAATAGTGATTATTAGGATAGACAAATTTTTTTTTTCTTTTTTTTTCAATATCCTCTTATTACTTTTTCTTTCTTGCTTGTATCTTTTATCATATTCTCCTTTTACCTCTGTTTTATTTTTTCTTTTGTATTTGTGCTTTTATTAATTTGGCTCTTTTGATGAAGTGTATAGCTGCTAGGGCTAAGGATCGGAGAGTTCATATTCTCAGTAAGTTGAGAATCCAATATAAAGCCAATTGCTGCTAGGTGAATCATTTTCTAAGCTTAGCTCAAGTTGATTTTTACTTACGTAGAATATAGTATAGAAAATTGTATCTCCCTGTTAATATAAGTTCTGGTACTTCCCAATAAAAAGTAATAGGCAGGACCACCGAAAAAAAAAATATTAAGATATTGAATATTATATTATTATATTTATTATAAGATAATATAAAATGCACCTATGATGATTAATACCAATAGGTTACATAATACTAATAGGTTATGCAAGATATTTATTAAATCATAATTGCGTTATTATATAATATTTATATTTACATCATTACAAAATATTTTACAAATATTTATTTTGTATATAATCGATATTTATTACGTGTTTGATCATTTAATATATATTAAACTTTTCACTTGATACTTTTTTTTTCGCTTGATATTTTCATTGTTATCTTTAGCAACTGTGTTATTTTTTACTGTCACTCTTCAATGTTATCGTGTTATTTTAACATATTTTTTCTTGCTTTCATTTTTTAGTACTACATTATTTTATTTTACTGTATCACTTTTCAATACTGCTGCATTCTTTTTTTATTGTATCGCTTTTCAGCATTGCCGTGCTAACTTTTATTAACTGTGTTGTTTTCAACATTATTGTATTACCTTTTACTTTGTGTCACATCTTTTTTCACTTTACTATTTTAACTGTATCACTATTGTTATTCACTTATTTTCTTTTTTTACTTTGTATTATTTTCTTAGCATCGTTCTTCTTTCCAGGTTCTTTTGGTTTTTTTCTCTCACAGTACTGTCTTGTCTATATTTTGGAATCGAGATCACTTTCTTCACTTTATTTTTTTCTTTGAGCCACTTTTTTTTTTTTTTTTGCATTACTTTTTGACTACATTACTTTTCTTTCTGGTAATACTTCTTTCTGGATCATATCTCTTTTAGGGATAATTTTCTCTCATTGTTCTTTTTGTCATACCTTTTTTCTCTTAGAATTCACTATGAATCTGTCTTCTTTTTGCATTGTTCTATTTGGATCATTTGTCACTTATTTTTTTTGTTAAGTAATTCTCTCTTTCAGAAAATTTTCTGAACAATTCTACTTCTAATAATGAATAACATGTCCTTTTTTGATGCTGATAACGATCTTGATAGTCTTATAAATATTTATATAAATGACGATAAGACTTCTTCAAACATTTTTAACGATTTTAACATGCAAAACAATAATGATAAGAGAGTGATTAAAGCATATGAGTCTGATTTGAAAAGCGAATATAACAAAAGTACAGGATCTAAGTACATATTAGCAAAAAATCAAACCTTCGAATCTTGGAAATCTGTTGATAGTAATCAATCAATAAATAAATAAATAAAAAATAAAAAAAGATTAGATTAACAAATTCTTTACTAATATCTACTTTAGGTATTTTGAACAACATGGTCAAGCAAATAGTTTTGTGTTTTGTATAATCTATAGTAAGATTAATAAAGTTGATAATTAACCTCGATGTTATATATACTCATGTATGAAGAGACAGAAATATGTACAATATAAGGAGACGCATGTACTTGATGAACAAAATAAAAGTTACAAGACAGAAGAGTACCCTTTTTATATAAATGTATATCGATGAAAAAATAATAATCAGATCTGTATTTTAAACATTATTGGTGATCATAACCATAAAATGGTTAAAAATATTACTATAATTGATTCAAGATACTGGTGGTTGACAAAGGATATGCAAGATAAAATTCGATTACTAGCATCTAGTAGTGTATGAGCTGGCACAATTATTGAGGTTTTGCAAAAAAATATACTGAAAAAATATTCATCCTCATAATGTATATAATATGATACAAATGATTCATTATGAAAAACATATATCAGGTAATACAGATAGTATATATCTAGAACTTATAAAAAAACAATGTGAAGAGCTAGGCTACTTCGTTGATACAAAGTTCGAAGGGATAGACAACTACTTGGTTGGTCTTATATAGATACAACCAAGTCAGATACAGATTTGGGGCAGATTTCATGATATAGTTCTTATAGACACAACTTTCAAAACAAATTATTATACAATGAAGCTCTGTGTTGTTGTAGTTATTGATAACTATAATCGCACACGTTTAGTAGCAACTGCTATTATAGCAAATGAGACAAAAGAGATCTTTTTATAGGTTTTAGAGAGTTTACTTAAAGCTTCAAATAGGTTGGTACCAAAGCTGCTATTCACAGATGTGGATTATACAATGGTTTCTGCTATTAATAAAATATTACCAAATACCAAACATTATTTTTGTTTTTTTCATATCAAAAAAAATCTTGAAAATGATTTTTGAGAAGATATAAAGGTGAAAAATGAAATGAATTTTTTAATGCATTTTGTCATATATGAAACAGCTATATGGAAGCTATTTTTAAGAAACATTAAGCAGACATATTGCAAAAATATTTCGATTCTGCCTCATATTTAGAAAGGCAACTCTACTCATACCAAGAGGCATAGATTCTTTGCTTTATACATAGATCATTTAATGCAGAGATACAAACTACTCAATGAGTTGAATTGTATAATAATATTATTAACAAATATGTTAGTGATGCATCATCCTTGTTTGAACTAAGTAATACTATCGAGAATTTGTTTATTAAGAAAGATCAGTATCAATATCTTAATGAAATTTCTAATGTTTTGCCAAATATCTATAATGAAGATTACTATAGCAGATATTTTAAAACTATTGATGAATCGTGTCAAAGATTTTTAACAATAGCAATTCTTAAAATACAACATCAAGAAATAAATCGCAATATTCACTATCAAGCACGATTAGCTAATCTAGAAGATGAAAAAAGTCAAATAAGTTTTTTGGAACATTTGCAGTTAATTTAGTGATCAATAATCACGTGATGAAATATCATAGCATTATCTTTTATCAGAATTAAATGAACCAGCCCAAATTATACCTTGTTGTAACTCCAAACTAACTTTAATCTAGGTCTAATACTTATCATGAGATATTGTAATGATCACTAGATTAACTGTTTTTTAAATTATCCTTATATAATTTGGTTTTGCATTATTGTATTATTAATAAAATGAATATCTTTGTTTTAAATATTATGTTTTTTTTTTTTTTTTTT